CCAGAAATCCGAACATCAGATGGCGTCGAGTTTCACAACGCGGTGAACGTAGTTGGACAAGTTATGCTATATGAATTGCTGCAAAATGAGATAAAAAGAGCAATATTCCTTTCATCAGCCACAGTCAGAATGGCATGCTATTCGAGAGATTTGAATTTCTTGAGTGTTTACGCTGGACCATATCAGGCATACGCATCGTCAAAGCTGAATCTTGCAGTTTACGTAAACGAAGTTTCGAGAAAAAGGTATTTTTAAAATCCAAGGATCCCTAGATCTGGTTTTTTTCAGACATGTGACTGCAGTGAGCCTTCATCCGGGAACAGTTCCAGGTCATCTCTATCACAACGCAAATCCGTTGGTTCGATACTTAAATGCCACGATTCTGCCGAAAATTCTTCGAAAACCAGAAATGGCAGCTATTCTTGTTCTGCATACAGTTCTACGAGAAGACATACAACCTGGTGCATACTATGAAGATACAGAAGTGGTGAACTTGGCCGATTGCATTCCAGAACAAGTTTCTGTAATGCTTACATACATCTGAATAATTTGTATTTTTCTAGGAGCGCTCCAGAATATACGAAACCATTCATCGGCAGGTCGAGTTGTGGATGGAATAGTAGTATTATTTTTATAGTTTTATTCGCATGCTTTTATTTATATGAAGATCGTTTTATTATTTATTGATCAGTGAATAAAAACAGATACAAAAAACAATAATGAGATCCTATGAATCTGATTGTAGTTGTGTAGAATTGAATAGGATGTGTATAGAATTTGAAAACAAACAAAATTTTTGACCAGCAAATTGAGAATTAAGTTGGACTACAATGTGAGAACAGAAAGAGAATTTCGAAAAACTAAACGCGAAGAGAGTGATTAGTATGTGAGAAGTCGAGGGATGGAATATAATCGTCATTTGAGCTGTTGGTCAGATCATCCATGAACTCCTCGAAACTAGCATTGTGATCAGGAACAAGAGAAGAAGCAGAACGAAGGTTCGGATTGTGTGGTGGGAGCATTTCGAGGTGATGGTGACTGGTTCTCGCAGCGAAAGATACAGTTTCAACCACCTGAGAATATGATCCGAAATTCACATTTAACAATTCTCGTTTTACCTCTTGCGGAGTCTTCCCGTATTGTTTCATCAAAGCTTCCAATTGCATTTCAAACGATTGATTCATTGGTAACGGAGGCAT